TAAGCCAAGGGCTTATATGCAGAACTTCTCAAGAAATCCAGGGGTTAGATATCAGGATATCGCTGACAGCTCACTGACAATGTCCTGTAAGTTGAACATAGTAATACCTCAGTTGTACAGAGGGAAGAAATTAAGTACCAAAGAGCTGAAATAATTCACTTAGAGTGATCAAAAAAAGTTAAGGACAAACTGAACTTGGTTCAGATAATCCTCAAACCCTCACACACAGAAAACGACTTGTATTTAAGAGAAAGACCATGTCCATTCTGTTCTCCTTTGTCTTCCAGAACTAATTTTTATTGTTAATTAAATATGCAAATGACTTCCATTTTATAAATTAATATTTATTTTTACAGACGATGACCATTATGAATATCGCTGAGACCTGCAACTATTTTTTTATGAACTTTATTTTTTACATTAAGAAGGAACCACTTTTAAGGTAGAGGTAGATATTCTAATTCAACATGAACCATTTTAACTCCTAAAAGCTTAACAAAGGAATTGTGTTAGTTGGGAACCATTTGCGTACAAGTCATAAAACTCCAACTCAATTGACTTAGGCAAAAGGAGATGGTGTTAGGAGGCTATTGGAGGATTTTCATGTACCCAAATGACAGCAAGGCTGGGGATTTAAGCAGTTGCACCCCTGAGACAAGGAAGAGCAGCTCTCTCCCTCCCCTTTTGGGCTCTCAGTGGTGCTGTTTCGACCTCCTACATTAGAGATTCCGTTCTCTCACATGGTGGCCACCAGCAGCTTCCAAGGCCCTCTGTTCCACAGCTTCTCCCATCAGCTTCTAATACTCATCTGCTCCCTTAGCTCAAGTTCAAAAACTCCTGAGGACAAGTTGATCAAACTGCCTCGATCTGCGTGACTATATCCAATGAGGTGAGACACCCTTAATGGTAGACTCTACCTGAAGGGTATGGTTGGAATCTAGGCAGGAGTAATTCTCCAAAAAGGGGACAGGACGGGAAGGAAAGGCTACTGAACAGCTAACTGGGCAGACAAACCAAGAATAATCAAGTAGAACAAAAGCAAACACAGATTCTGAAAGTTCAGATAACATTAAGATGGCACAAGACAGAACGCTGGAAATTGGCATTAAGGCATTCTTCAGTACATTCTTCTTTTTACTTCTATTTCCCAGCCAAAACAATGAATACATAACTGTAAAACTTGACAACATACCATTTTCTCTCCCCTCTTGTAGATGTTTTCTGTCACTTCCCCATGGCATCAAATCTTTTGGCCTAAAAATTGCCCCTAAAGTCTTACACAAAGCATCCATAATGTTACTGTCAGAATTGTTTCAGAGCTGTCTATGTTATTTTTAGGGTTCAGATCTTCTTCTGTGCGTTTCCTCATTCCATATTCACGACATTATCTTCCGAGCTTTGCAATTCTGATGCAATTTCCAGTTCATACTTTTTCAATTGCTGCATTTTCACGTTTAAATCCAGCAAAGTTCTGGCCAGCTGGCAATTCTGGAAATGCATTTCCAGCTAAAAGTTAGAAAAAAATAAGGATTTTTATTAGCCTGAGATATGGATCAAATGAAACTGCTCTCTGCACAGGAAAAATAAGGACTTTGTAGGAAAGGAAAATAAGATATCAAGAAAGACGTATTTCTCATCTTATTCTCCAGTTCTGACTGTTTGGCCTGACTATAAAACTGACTTTCTCTACGATAAGATAAAATCCAGATATACAAATAGCTTTCGAAATGGCCTTGCAATGAAAACAAAAAAAGCTCACGCACAGAGCCATCCATTTGAAAAATTCCTGTGCATAGAAGGCTGTTTCCAAGCAATGGCATGTGATCTGCGAGGGAATCATTTATCTCTATGAGCTTTCTGAGCTCCAGGGATAACTGCTCAGGGCCCCCTGAACTTTCAGGACCTGGGCCCATTTACTTGATTCCTTGTCATTTCAAGTTTTTAGGATTTTAAATGGTCTCCCTGTTGAGCAAAACATTTAACGACCCCTTTGCGTGTACTTATAGAATCTAACAATTTTCACTGTAGAGTGAAATCTGTTATACGGCAAGGCTGATTTATACCCTCCCTCCAGTGGGAGTTTGTGAAGGTCCTCGTGTATTAAGAAATAGATCGATCTCTCGGGCAATGTACCTAAGAGGCAGTCTGACAAAAGCTTAGTCCAACATAATCTTTGCATTATAGTTGAAAACTAGTAATCAACTATTTGCATATTTCTTCAATTAGGGTCTTGTTTAATGCAGTTCATGAGAACCCTGTTGTCTCTGCTGAAAACCCCTCATCAACTCACCAAAAGAAACCACCCCAGGGTGAACCAGGACATTCCGCTGGTAAAAAGCAAACATGGGAGGTCCCCTCCTAATTTGCAAAATAAAGTCACTGGATAAAATTTCTTTCAGTTTTCCTCTGACATATTTTTCTTCATTCTTCAGCACCTGGAACCATTTCTTTGATAGCAAGAATTTTTAAAGAATAAAGTAAATGAACATCCAGCAAACAGACAGTAACAACACAACCACTAGCACAAGAAGCCCTGGCACCTTGCCTACAGGAAGCTTCTGTTCTCCAGTGTGGAACGGACGCCCTATAAACCTGCCCTATGCTTCCAGCTTTATTTCCTGGCCCTCTTCCCACACCAGCTCCCACTGCAGCTGGTCAGAAACTTTGCCTGTCCCAGAATAAACACGTCGTACTGAGCCACATCTTCTGCCCGCTCTGCCCCTTGCCACCCACTTCCTGTTGAGCTCAGCCAGATGCCAGCTCTTCTTAGAAGGCTTCTCTTGTCTCGCCTTATCTGTGCTTCCACAGTGTTCTGTACATGTGCCTCTCCTAGCACACAGCCTACACTAGACTGATGATTTTGAGCACAGTTTGTTCTTATTCATAACTGTATCCCCAGCTAGGGGTGCACTGCCTGCTCACGCAACATGGTGGGTTCTCTGTGTGTTTGTTAAAAGACTGAGTGAAGGAATGACTAAATGGAGAAACTGATGAACACCCATCCTATACTTGCATGCCAAGAATCAAGCAGTTGAATTATTGATAATGGCTCACCATCTAAGCAAAACAAAGTATGTGTAACTCACACCTGTTTAGGAAAGTCAAACACCAGTGATTCCTTAATTTCCTTTCCTCATGGATCCCACTGAGAATCTAATGAAAGCTATGAAAGAAGTGCATTTTATGTGCATACAAAATTTGGCATACAATTTTAGGTATATAGAACCCCTGGAATTCACTCACAGGCCCTGGAATTCAATGCAAGCCACTAAGAAGATCAATTCAAACAACAAATAATAGCATAAATAACATTTCATAAGTAGCAACATGTCTCTAAATGAACTGAACCTGTTCATCATTGTTCCTTACACAAATACCACCCTAACAGATGATGTGTGGACATACATGTATGGATAGGTGCCAGTTCCTACAGAACACTGGCTAATGGCCCATTATCAACAACGGCTTCTTCTAGTGGTGATGGTGTTGAGGATCCACATTCTTTTGCTTCTTCATGACTGGTCACACACAATGGTGAAATGGTTGGCCAAGATGTTGACCACGATCTATATCTCAGGAACACAGCATCTGTGTATGTGTGACATTCTTTGCGTCCTTTCCAGAAAAACCCTTGATCTTCCATGCCTATGTATCTGTCACTTTGGGGGCACAACCAAAACACAGTAAGAGCCACTGAGTAGTGTCTATGTTCTATGCACTTTATATAACATTAACTCATACAATACTTACAGTGATCCTATGAGTTTATTATTTCCATTTTACAGCTGAAACCCAAACTTGCTAATTACCATTCCTAAAGTAATAGGAACAGTGAGAGCAGAGCCTGTAAATGTTAATGCTGGGATTTGAACCTCATCTATTTGGAATTTTATTCTCCACCTCTTCCCCACCCCCGGTGCATTACTTGCTTAAAACTCCTACTAGTGGAACGACTAGTTAGAATGTGAAGGTTCAAGTGCCTCGGAGCTTACTGTATGTAATTTCTTCACTTGATTTAAATGAGTCAGCTGAGGGCTTCCCTGGTGGCGCAGTGGTTGGGAGTCCGCCTGCCGATGCAGGGGACACGGGTTCGTGCCCCGGTCCGGGAAGATCCCACATGCCGCGGAGCAGCTGGGCCCGTGAGCCATGGCCGCTGAGCCTGCGCGTCCGGAGCCTGTGCTCCGCAACGGGAGAGGCCACAGCAGTGAGGGGCCCGCGTACCGCAAAAAAAAAAAAAAAAAAAAGATTCAGCTGAGGTATGGG